GAACGAGGGTGCAAATGTTAAAAATAGCACTATAACAGGAGGGGGAAATCGGAAAAGCTACACTCCTGAAATTATGTTTAATCTGACCAATCAAAGCCCTTGCTGTCTGCGTCGCCTCGACGCGTAGTTACACATTTTTGGAGGTGCACGTCGAGCTACGGCGGAGGGGTCGGAGAGGGGTTCGCGTCGACGGATGGGTGTCTGCGGGGGTACGCCGTCGATTCGACGCAGAAGCATAAAACAGGCTTTATGCCCGCTCTGCACAGCCAGTTCAACCTCGTACAATCAATAATCAAACCACTGTTCCCGGCGCTGCTCGCGCGTCACAGAATGTTCATAAAGCGCTCCCCGTTCAGCGCTCAACGCAGTTTGCTTCGCGCTCCACTCAAATCATCCCCCGCTCGCTCCAAAAAACGAAGAAAAAAAGCTACATATATTTTTATTTCACTTTTGGGTTAGACCACAGCCTTACCTTACAAAGAACTAAAGACCAACAACAACATTTTCCAAACAGAAATGTTTCATTTCAAATTACAAATTAGGACTAGCAAGAACAGGAATGTAGCATACACAAAAAGTCCTGTAAAATTAAACGAATAAATGGGCCTAATAATATAAATAAAAATTATATAAACAAAAATATATATAAAAGTTTTTTGAAAGTAAATTAACTATAGGCCAGAATTTTGATAACTGAACTTTTGCCCAACGCACACGATGAAAATGTAAATGGGCTTATAACCATTGTACAGACAAACTGCTGTAAAATTTAATGAATAAATGGGCCTAATAATATAACTAAAATAAAAATATGAACAAAAATGTAAAAAAAAAAAAATATATATATATATATACACTCACCGGCCACTTTATTAGGTACACCTGTCCAACTGCTCGTTAACACTTAATTTCTATGCAGCCAATCACATGGCGGCAACTAGGCATGTGCATTTAGGCATGTAGACATGGTCAAGACAATCTCCTGCAGTTCAAACCGAGCATCAGTATGGGGAAGAAAGGTGATTTGAGTGACTTTGAACGTGGTATGATTGTTGGTGCCAGAAGGGCTGGTCTGAGTATTTCAGAAACTGCTAATCTACTGGGATTTTCACGCACAACCATCTCTAGGGTTTACAGAGAATGGTCCGAAAAAGAAAAAACATCCAGTGAGCGGCAGTTCTGTGGGCGGAAATGCCTTGTTGATGCCAGAGGTCAGAGGAGAATGGCCAGACTGGTTCGAGCTGATAGAAGGGCAACAGTGACTCAAATAACCACCCGTTACAACCAAGGTGGGCAGAAGAGCATCTCTGAACGCACAGTACGTCGAACTTTGAGGCAGATGGGCTACAGCAGCAGAAGACCACACCGGGTGCCTCTCCTTTCAGCTAAGAACAGGAAACTGAGGCTACAATTTGCACAAGCTCATCGAAATTGGACAATAGAAGATTGGAAAAACGTTGCCTGGTCTGATGAGTCTCGATTTCTGCTGCGACATTTGGATGGTAGGGTCAGAATTTGGCGTCTACAACATGAAAGCATGGATCCATCCTGCCTTGTATCAACGGTTCAGGCTGGTGGTGGTGGTGTCGTCATGGTGTGGGGAATATTTTCTTGGCACTCTTTGGGCCCCTTGGTACCAATTGAGCATCGTTGCAACGCCACAGCCTACCTGAGTATTGTTGCTGACCATGTCCATCCCTTTATGACCACAATGTACCCAACTTCTGATGGCTACTTTCAGCAGGATAATGCGCCATGTCATAAAGCTGGAATCATCTCAGACTGGTTTCTTGAACATGACAATGAGTTCGCTGTACTCAAATGGCCTCCACAGTCACCAGATCTCAATTCAATAGAGCATCTTTGGGATGTGGTGGAACGGGAGATTCGCATCATGGATGTGCAGCCGACAAATCTGCGGCAACTGTGTGATGCCATCATGTCAATATGGACCAAACTCCCTGAGGAATGCTTCTAGCACCTTGTTGAATCTATGCCACGAAGAATTGAGGCAGTTCTGAAGGCAAAAGGGGGTCCAACCCGTTACTAGCATGGGGTACCTAATAAAGTGGCCGGTGAGTGTATATATATATGCCTCCATAAATGTTTAAAAGTAGGCTAATTAATTATTAGGCTAGATTTTGATAAGCCTAACTAATTTTTGCGCAGCGCGCACTATTAAAATTTAAATTGGCTTAGGCCTATATCATCTGTACACACACACACAAAAAAAAAGCAAACAAAAAAAACCTGTAAAATTAAACGAATCAATCGGCCTAATTATATATAAAAATCATCTACATCAACATCAACGTGTTAAATTAAATACATTTTGGTAAATGAACTGGAAAAGGCCACCAGGCGCCTATTTAACTGAACTTTTGCGCAGAAAGCACGTGGATGACAAGTTATATTGTCTCAAACTTAAAAAAAAGAAAAAAAAAGAATTGCTTTCGTTATCTAGCCTACAGTTCTTTTGAGTTCACCTTCAAGAACACGAGTTTGGACAATGTCTGAGGCTTCAGACACATGCGGTGGTTTCTTGAAAGCAGGCCAGCAGCGGAGAAAACCCTCTCTGCGCTCACAGACCCGCTTGGGGATGCTGAATACAATGCAAGCAACTCTAGTCAGGCGGGGAAAGACGTGGAGTTTTCTCTTGATGTGAGCGGAGCGGGAAATAGGGCGGTCGTGTTTTCCGTCTATTTGAAGGTTATGCTAATAAACATGTTGCATTCTATACGGCCTGATTATGTCATTTTTTAAGTTACATAGCCTGCCTCCAGTTTTCCTCAACTTGACTAATTAAGAGGCGATATTTGACCGGCATATCATCAAAATGTCCGTTAAACTAAACCTCTGCCGGTCACTTTGACCGGCACCATTTTTTTCTAGCGGAAACTCTGGTGTGGAGCATTGGCTGTTGTCAGAATACTTGTGCATTCAAAAATTTCACTGGATTATTACAATTAATGCCACAATTAATGTCTGGAAATGTAAACTGATATTTCCTACAACAACAAAAAATACGACAACACTACAGACACTGCAACAAAATATATAAATAACTGGCTTAAAACCATTTATTTGAGGCGAAAATACTAGTGTGCTTAAGACTTCAGCACAGTACTGTATGTTTATAATTGTCACTCAGATGTTTAGAAATCATATCTGGACCGAATAGTAACAAATTCAAACCTGTATAAAATATTAATGTAAAATAAACCTATAATCACCACTTTTAATAATAATGGGTTTGTTTTCTGTTCTCACATTGTTCTCCACTCACACTGCCTTTACTTAAAAAAACTAAAATAGCATGACAGTTTGATTGAATGTGTGTTATTCAGCCACCAGTCTATCCTCTTGCCTCATCATTTTCACATTCTTTTCCCTTCTGTTCACAAAAAAATCTTTTTTAATTAAAACCGAAGTATTTTGTGTTATGTACTGTAGTTCTGCTGTCATTCCATATGTATTTGTACCTTTTGTCAACAGTGACCCAGTTAGACTGCTTTACTGTGTTTACACATCACAAACCCAGAGGTAAAATAGTCCACAAGAAGTAAAGTGTAGCAGTGTAGAAAAGTGAAAAAAAAAAAATAAACACAGAGCTCCTCTGACCCTTATTTCTGAATGCATTATTGTCTCGCGAGATCTGATGCGATATTTTGGCTGTCGTGGACGGTCATTTTAATAATGCAAATGAGGGTCCATTTTTGGTAGTTTGGTCTGTTTTTGAATGTTGATTCTGGCAGTTAACCACAGAGCAACTCGCGTGTGCACTACATTTCTGCATCTTTCTTGACTGAATATGAGGGGGAGAGGGACAGCGCGGTCTTCTTGCAGCATATGTCTGCGGTGTCCATATATGGTATATCCTGCCCCGTCTTGACGTCAAGTCGGGGGAGAAATTAAAATCTCGTATTTGAGTGCACGTGGGCTGGTTTACGAACCCTGGGGTAAACAAACGCTTCAGTTTTGAATATCGGCTTCCCGGCCAATGTATATAATCGTTAAGCAATCATAACATACATTGATTCTCGTGGAAAAGTGAAAATTGCAGGTTATGACTCCTTTAACGTAATAAAACGTAATAAATGTCAAGATTAAGAATCTTCAGTATATCTAGTAAAAATGGCAATAAAAGTGATAGCTATATATATATATATATATATATATATATATATAGATTATATATATATATATATTTAGATAAATAAAACATGAAACATGAACATATACATACAGTGAACTAGAGTATTTTTAATATCCGACATGCGTTTCACAGGAAAATATTGTTCAATATTAAGTGCCCCCAACTAAGCCAGCCAAAAGCCAAAGGTGACAGTGGCAAGGAACTCTATCAGGTGACAGAATGGAGAAAAAAAAAAAAAACCCTTGGGAGAAACCATGCTCAGTCGGGGAACCAGTTCTACAGAAATTCAATAATCAAATATAGAATAAAACACAGCATAGTCTTCATTACATGAATTAATCTTGCTTTGAATCTTAATAAAGCTTCAACAGTTATTCAGTTATTTGTTTTATTTTGTTGTTTGTTTAACATTAATGGTTACGAAACACTAAACTACATTTTCTGTGAGTCATGCATGTTCCACACCATTGAAGACAAGGTTACCATCGTCATTTAATTGTAGGAGCAAACTAGTACACATTTTAAGCTTTCTTTTCCTTTTTTCATCATCTGGGTTTAAAATTGTCTTTGTGTCAACTTCAACATTTTCTTACATCATTGACTCTTCTTTGTCTTATTATTTCTGAAACTGCGTATCCTTATTGATTAAATTGATCCCCTCTCCAAAAGCAAATTGATTAAATATTGATTAAATGTATGCCCTCTCTTTATTTAATAAATTGATCCCCTCTCCAAAAGCTAACTTACAATTTTTTATGTCATTGTCAGAACCAAAGTGGCAGTATTTAACAGTTATGGGAGATCAAACTGAAAAGAGATTTTTCAAAATGTCTTTATTTCTCAGGTGGGTGTTCACGGCATTAGGATAGAATTTTTTAATGAAAAAGGATCAAAGCGCACCGCCACCTACCTGCCAGAGGTTGCGAAGGAGCAAGGTGAGAAAAAAAGTACACTTGCTTGAGTTTTATCTGCATTCGGTTACAATATAACAGCAGAAACAAAATGAAGAATAGGCCAAAAGGTAACACTCAAGCAGTATAAAAAAACAGGATTGAATTTGTTCTCTCTCCATAGGATGGGACCACATTCAGACCATAGATTCCTTACTTCGAAAGGGAGGTTACAAAGCTCCCATCACAAATGACTTCAGGAAGACAATTAAATTGACCAGGTGAGAGAATTACCTTTTCTAAACAACAATTTTTCATCACTATACAATACAAGGCTATATTAGTGAATCTTTTAGTTCTTGTGGCCAATGGTACTAGAGTCTTTTTTCACAGGATGTCATAGGCAGCAGATTTAGAAGGTTTTTATTTTTCATTTGTATTTTCTTGTTTAGTAATTCTGAACAGATCTTTTTCTTTTAAACCATTTTTTGGCATCCCCATGTGGTTTGGTATCGCACCTTGACTAGTTAACTATCCACCTTATTCTGCTCTAAACTATGCACTCCGCCATGACGACGACTCCGGTTGCCAACTTCCGGTTCGAGTCTGGTCTATGCTTTTTTGCTATGCGTTTTATATTGTCACATCCCCACATCGCTAAACTAAATCGAAAAAGACATTCATCCAATGTCATCTGGGGCCTCATTTATAAACGTTGCGTACGCACAAAAGAAGGCATACGCCGCTCTCTACGAAATAGTTGGTATTTATAAAAATCAAACTTGACGGTAAAATGTGCAGTCCTTCACGCAAGCTCTGACCCAGGCGTACGCACAAAAACGGGTGAAATGAGAAATGGCGACACTGTCGGCAGTTGGAAAAAAAACGTGAAAGTGTGTGAAACTGTAGACGGTTGTGTAAAATAAATGGCATTACTGCCTCTCATAAATAACACAAAGACTTCACAAAGCAAGTCTTACAATTAACAGCCTACACAAACACAGAAATGCAAATTAACACATATTTCCAAAAAGAAAGAAATATGTTCTTCAATAATATTGGCATATACAATTCATCCTCATAAATAAGATGGTAAACAGAACGAAATAATGTACAAAACTGATGTTCTCGTCATGTCCGTCTAACGGAGCAGATATAGCAATTAGATAGTCAGTCAGATAGATAATTAGGGAGATGTATAGATAGATTGATAAATAGATATATTTAGGCCTATTATTTGTCCACAGTTGTTTTCATCGTAAAAATATCTTCATCAGCTACGGAATAATGGTATTCATGCATATGCCTTTATTTTGTTTCATTTTTGATAAAATAACGTATGACGTGTCTCAACCATTCAGAAAGCTGCAAGAAATTACATTTGCGCTAAATTATTTCCCATTTAGATAACCGACATCTGTAGCTTGTCAGATGCAGAATGAAATGGATGTAAATAAAATGCCCCATCATGCGTAGCCTAATGACGCACAATGCCTAAAATTGCACTCTTAGAAGATGTGGCGATTAAATGGAAGGATTCGGAGTGAACGCATCATCTTCACAACAAAAGGTGTGGAAAAAATATATTATTTATTCAAGAATTCCCTCATTGCACAGTTTATTTCAGTTAGGACAGTCTTGATTTCGCCCAACTCCTTGGCCACCTCTCTAATTGAATTAATGACTAGACGCTTTTTTGCCTCGACTTTGACGTCCGACCATTTCTTTTTTATTTCGGCCACAGTTCGAGGTTGTGAGGCTACAGCATTTGTAGCGTCTGCAACCTTTTGCCACTCAAGTGCCTTTTTGGCATTAGTAATGCACACTGTGCCCTCCAAACAACATTTTTCTCCTCTTTTCCACCTCACTAACGATAACTTCTACTTCACATTGAGTGAAGCTACGTTTTTTTTAAATTCCTCTCTGTGTTTAACATGATTTCGCAATTGATGAATATTAACTTGTCAAGTCAAGTCACATTTATTTATATAGCGCTTTTCACAATACAGATTGTATCAAAGCAGCTTCACAGTGATAACATGAAAGTAGTACAACACAGATCAATAATATTGTTAAATATTAAATATTAAATAACCCCAACTAAGCAAGCCAAAAGCAAGGCGACAGTGGCAAGGAACCAAAACTCCATCAGATTGGATGGAGAAAAAACCTTGGTAGAACCCAGGCTCAGTCGGGGGAGGCTCACTTGTGGGCGTTTCACGGACTATTTATGGGCAACTATGGGTGCGACATGAAGCCGCAAAAACTGCGCTACATTTAGAATTGATTGTGATTTATTAAGGGAAAAATGTGTAGAATGTGCGTGCGCACGGTTTTATAAATCCGAATATTTCTGTGCGTACGCACGTCCTATGTTTCATCCATACGCCACTTCTGACGCAAATCCTACGCAAAGTTTTATAAATGAGGCCCCCTGATCACGTTATTTTTTTATGAAATCACAGATAAAAACAAAATGAACGTTTTTCTTTTCTTCATAACTTCCAAAGGTTAGCTGATGCATGACTGCACGATCTCCCTAATCCAGCAATACATGAACATCCAACAGTTTCTATCACTCTGACTGCTGCAGAATAACAGTACTATAGACGAATCCGGCGAAACTACCGGAAGTAAGCGGGCGCCATTACTGAGCTGTTGCTGGGTAGCGTTGCGCCATTGCCTTCTATTGTTTTAGTTGCAACTTGCGTCCATTGGAATAAACAGCTCGCGATTTACGACTGTCACTAACGTTACAACGTTAGCCCTTGTATAATGTCGAGTGGGTAAACAGTTTCCGTTATAAATTGTTTCAATGGTGGCAGTAAAATTTCAATTTTGAAGAGAAAACATTGTGAATACCCCGGGTCGAGTGCCCCTGTCTGGTGCCGTACGGTTTATACAGATTTCCTGGGCGAGTACAAGACGCGGACATTTGCGTATAATAACAATTATTTAATGACATAAGTAAAAAAATATAATAAATGTGTGATATAGTGATCAGCAAAATCTCCTCTCTTGTTATTTTTTCTATTCAATTTACATGCTATGGTCATTAAATGGCTTTCCTGAGCTGAATGTAACGTTATGTGACATATTTGTTCTCCTGCTGTTATATTGACCTCTTTCCATGGTTTAAAAACAGTAGTTGGTCGATATTATGTATACTTTCTAGCTGTAACGTTACCTTACCCATGCCCGTTGCAATGTAAAAATTAGATAAATAATGGACACAAATGAAAAACATGAAATTGTTTATTTGATTTCATTTATTTATTTATTTATTGTTGCCAAATGGACAGATCTTTTTTTTAGTTTCCTCGGTAGCAAACGTTAGCCTAGCTTGCTTGCCAAGCTATTTTCATAAATAATCTGTAAGATCGTTTGTACCTTCATCTGTGACTGGAGGCCAATGTCTAACATCATCAACCCAACAAGTCTGCCTGGCTGTAGCTGTCATCAAGGGTGCGTTATCACCTTATCTCCGAGGTTTGTTTACATACCGGTGCATATGTCTATGCCGGTGTAACAGCTCAGTAATGGCGTCGCCACAAGATGGCAGCCTACACAAGAACGCTCGTCGGATTCGTCTATAAGGTTAGGCTGGTTAGTTTGACTCCTGTCTACCTCTGCTTTCAAAGATGCATAGTCTATATATTTCTCAGGCCTCTGAGGTTAGGCATAACGTTATGCCGAGTTTCATTCATGAGACCAAAGTCCAGTTTGCACACTGTCGCCTCCGTCATGATCATCTATTGTTTACTATATACTTCTTATTTATTAAAACCAGTCAATTGTTTGATGAAACATTGATTGAAATGAATAAAAAACGAACAATTCACTTCAAAGAAAGGTTGCTTTGTGGCTTCTCTTTAAGATCTCTGATCTCCGTTTTCAGAACGGCCATGTCCGTGAATATAAAACGCATGTGTAGACTGATATTTTTCTAATGTCTGGACCACTGATCTATATAATATATCATTGTATATAGATGAGTGGTCTGGACTAGAGTGCTAGCATTCTATGTAAACAAATACTTCAACAGGAAGTAGAAAACCGTTTAGTCAGTTGAACCCGCTATGAATCATGGGAAATAGAACGAGCGCAGATTAAGCTGGATATATAAGCTCTAAACAATTGTAACATTTAGTTTTTGCTTTTGTACTGCATTATGAAATATGCAGAGTAGTTTGATTTGAGTGAACAGATTGAATTTAGGCTTTTATTCACTAATTAAAATTCATCAACTCACACATCAGTTGTGGTAAACAGAAGCTCAAGCAAGTTCTCTTATACGAGAACCAATGATGTTCATTATCATGTTACGCAGCACGTTTGAGCTTCCGAAAGAGGTTTGTTTTTCGTGTCAAGCAGGTTTGGTTGAGCTTCTATGTTAGCTGATCAATGTTTATATATGAAAAAAAGCCTAAAAAGCTATCTATGGAGGGATAGAAAGCTCTCAGATTTCATAAGATCTTCATTTGTGTTCCGACGTCTTGGAACGACTTGAGGGTAAGTAATAAATGAGAGAATTTAGAGATGTTTTGCCTGAAATATCCATTTAAAGTAGATCATACAAAAAATGGCTGTCACTTCATTCAATTTGAGGTTCTCTTACATTGTCAAGTGTCTGGTTTCAAATGATACCAGGATTATGCCTGTTGACTGAAGGGTTCATGAAAAGCAGCCATTTCATTTTGGGCATGTCATTTTCAGCTTGTGTCCTTGCTGGTTAAGGGGTTAAAGAAGCGTGTCTCCTTGAAGACTTAAATTTGAATACCGGCTGCTATAATTGGTATATTATGATATTTTCTTTGCTTATAAATATTGCCTAACTATTTTGGAAAACTTCTATTATGGTTTTACTATTACAACTGCCACTAATTGTGAAAAATGTTGGCTATAGCAGTATGTTTAGATCTAATCCTATTGCACTGCTAAGCATTATAGCCAACTCGACTTCTGCACTCTCACAAATAATTTCATAACTAACTAAGTGTAAACACTATTTAAATAACGTAGAACGAGTTCTCAACCCCCACAAGCTTGCATCATCCACTTAGATGATACGACAGTACAACAGCGCCAATACGCTCACCACACATAGGTACACCTACTGTGTATAGCTGATAGGTGGAGAGGAGAGAGAGTGATGGAGCCAATTGAGTAGATGGGCTTATTCAGAAACCATGATTGAGTCAGGACCAATGGAGTGAATCTGGCCTGGACACCGGGGTTGAATTCCTATTGAGAAGTGCCATTTGAATTTTAATGTCCACTGAGAGTCGAGACCACAGTTTTATGTCTTATCCTTATTATCTATTCTTGAGTCTCTGGCAGCCCATTGAACCATTTGCAGGAAAATGATCAAATTTGGCAGACAGATCTCAACATTAATGTGGCTATTTGCCACATAGGCAAATTATTGAACTCAAATTAATTTGATATATACATGGCTCAAGTACTCACAGTACTGTGAGTTATCTTGAGGTAAATAAAATATGTAACTACGGTAGTAAACATTTGAAGTGGATCACAAAAGTTCATCAAAGTTGTCCTAAGAATAGAACCAGGAATCATTTATAACTTTGAAAGGTTTTGATCCACTTCAAATGTCGACTACTGTAGTCCACACTCTCACTCTTTCTCGCAATTATATTTGTAATTTCAATCAAATAAATGTAATAAATTTCTCCTTTTGTGTTCCACAGAGGAAAGTTTAGTGTTTGAAACATGAAGGTGATTGATTACATCATTTTTACAGGCCTGTGTTGTGAACAGTATTTTGACAGTCTTCCACGGTTCTGATGCTTACCCCTTCTTCACCATTGTTTTAGGTACCGTAGTGAAAAGATGACAATGAGCTACGCAGAATACATCGCCCACCGCCAGCATCATCACTACCAGAATGGCATCGGGCACCCTCTCCCTCCATACAACCATTATTCCTGACAGCGAGCCGCATGACCAGTCACTGGACCTCTCTGCGGACATCTTCCCCGGAGAGCCTGCCTCCTCGTGGTCTAGCTATCTGTACTACTGTACCATTTTATGATGATAGTTTCCGTTGCCATGTCCACAGTCAGATGGAGGCATGGCAGCGGGTGCAAAATAAGCATTAGGTGATTATAAAGCGAAAAATTCATTTTGTCATTTTTATTATTTGTATTAATTTAGTTTTTGCAGCATATATATATATATATATATATCGACCCCTTATTATTATTATTATTATTATTATTATTTTTTTTAACAAATAAACAAGTACTAAGTTTTTTTGTTGTTTCAACAAATTTCCTAATCAGGTTTCTTAGTCTGTGGATGGAAATAAGTCATATTGAATGATGGGCTAGTTTTGAAGATAGTATAATTTTGCTCAGATTTTATCTATGCTAAGCTTTAATGACTTAATGAAGAGGAGGGGGGGATTGCCTCAGTTGTTACTTATTAGTTTGACTTTTTATCAAGCAGGCAACCACAGGGTTTAAGGGATGTCATTTCCTCTCTGTGTTATTCCTCTGATAACTTTCCTTTATTAGGGGTGATTTTCTGTTTTCCTTTTTTTGTCAATTTTGTTGTGGGTTATGCAGAGTGGCTGAGTTAGGCAGCGAAGAACTAGTTGACTCAAACTCATCAGATAATTGAAACCACTGTATTAAATTTGCTGTTGGGGATACCAGAATATTTACCTTGATGCGAAGGCCTGTTCTTAGCATTATTGTTGTTGTTGATTTGAATTGTATTACTTTGATGAACAGTCAGTTAGCCCATTTTTGTGTAGATTTGCTACTCTTAGGGAAAAAGGCATATTAATCTGTTAGTAATCCATCTCTTATTTAATTTCTCATGTTGATGTGCTCTAGTGGTGTTTGTTAGTGCTGTTCGCAAGTAAGTCTGTATTCAGGATAAGGGAGTAAATGAATGAGTCAGAGACTAAAGTTAGTTAAGGTCAACTGGGCTCACAACTGACTTCATGGCCAAAACGCTGTCTGAATTTGTGTTGTTTTGCTCCTAATTTGTCACACAGAGAGGAAAACCTGAGAGACCAAGGTCAAATGACAGGGATGAGCTAAAAAAAAAAAAAAAGCCATACTTTTTTCTTTTTCTTTTTTTTTTAATGCAGGCTGTGGCAGGGTGGTTGCTCTTAATGGCTATTTTAAATCCATTTTCTCCTGGCATGGAAAATGCTCCAGAAAGTTCTTTTTTGCTTTGTTTTTAATGATTTGGTCTTATGGATGAATATGATCATTTCTGTCTCGCATAGCAACAATGTTTACATCTCCATACAAAAGCCACTATATTTACAGTTGCTGTAATTGAGAAGATCATTGAGTAGATACAGTTGCTATTGTGGCTTTTTAATCCCCTCGATCTCTTAAACTGAAGATTGCTTGAATAATGTTGTCGGATCTGCCACTTCAAAACCAGGAAATTAATTTACATACGATGGTTATAACTGTCTACATAGTTTTCTCACTAACTATTTGCGTCACTGACAATGTTAGGTCCATTCTGAAAAGACCATGTCTAAGTGTTTCTTTTTTTAAGTCATCTTATCTGTAGATCGCAGTGAATTAGCTTTTTGAGGTTTCAGTTTTTAGATTGACAAAACTATTTCCTGTCATTTGTTTTCATATGCAAAATATTAAGGGCTTTTGGGGTTCCATCCACAGTCATTATTCAGTCCACTATAAACAAAAACAAAACAAAACAAAATAACCTGATTTCAGTTGTGTTGCCTTAAAAATGGTTAAGACATGGACCAGCAAATGTTGCCCCGATTGCTCAACTACCGTAAGACTGGTTATTTTGGCCAGCATCAAAATGGGTAGGTTTTGACCAGCGATGACTTTGTTCAAAACTTTCACACATTTATTTTTCCAATGAGGCCCTCCACTGCCCAGTTATGACCTTTAAAAAAAAATATATATATATATATATATATATATATATGAAGAGTTCAGATGCAAAAGCCTCTAAATGCCATTTGAAATTTTCTTCTTGAATGATGATTTTTATCAAACTTGTATATTTAAGTTCAGTAATTTCACTTAAATAACAATTAATAGGTAATCATCATTGCCATTTAAGTGAAATCACTGAACTTAAATATAAAAGCTTGATAAAAATGATCATTCTAGAAGAAAATTTAAAATGGCACTTAGAGGCTTTTGCATCTGAACTCTTCATATATATATATATATAATTTGCTTATCTAAATCCTACCTACCAATAAGACACATTTGTGGTGTCTCACATTCTTTAAAAACCCTTTAAATATCTCCACTTTTCTGCCTCAGTTTTAAACCCAGTTATTGTTTTATAGTTGGACAATCCAGGCCTCATTTTCGGTCCATTAAAACAGCACAAACTGTTTCAAAGTTTTTTTGTTTGTTTGCTTTTTTTTCTGCTGCTGCTGCAAAACCAAGTCGAGAAAATTTGATGTATAAAAAGTTGCAATACATTTTTGCATGAATTGGAGGCCTCCTGTTAAACATGGCATGCTTGTTTCACTGCTATATAGATATGAGAAAACAGACTATATAAAATGGTGCTATTGGACCTCATGTTGGGGGTGGTCGCAGCAAATGTGACTGGTCATGTGGACTCATTGATCATATCAGACTTTTTATTATCCTCAAAATATGCAGATCTGTTTTACAGGTGTTTTTTTCCTACCAGTGTAACAAAATCTCCTGCAGGTTTGAAAGGACAAGTAGTGACGAGTCTAACCCCATCTTTCCCTCATGGCCTGGGGGATTCGGGCATATGCTAATATCATGTGTTATAGATGTGCACATTTACGCAATACACAATTACCCTGGAAATTCACTCTCTGTATCCGTTGATGTTCACGTTAATTTACGTCGCCTTTTTGAACTTACGGCTGGATTAACTGGCTGTTGCTGAAATATGGCCAAAGCGATAATGATGGTCAGTGTGCTGTGAGTTTATTTTGCTAACATTGTGCAAATATCATTGTTGCGGTGATGAAACACATTTGTTTGTTTCTTTCATAGAACTATATGTATACATTTATACGTTAACTTGCAGTCGTTTCATGATTTTTCAAAACCTTCCTTAAAGTATTTTGTGATTCCTAGTGTAGTTTGAACATGCAAAACTTTATCAATCTCTAGCACATTTGAACACTGTAGAGACTATCAGCACCTGTCCTACATTGCTCAAAGATGAGTTCAAAACGTGCGCGTCTTGGCCCGTTTAAAAAAAAAAAAATTCTCATTACAATCTCCTTGATTTTCTGTAACTTTTAACACAACTGGGACTAGTGTTTGGTATGTAATGCTAATGCTCATTTTAGGCATAAATGTTGGGTTGTAACACCTTCACACGAGCTTCATGTTTACTGTTAAAACCATAGTCATTTGGAAGTTAGGCTCATGTTACCTTTGTGTGTTCAACCGAACCAAAGATGCCTCCAGCCATGTCCAAATGCTGCTCTACAGACCTGCCTTCCTGTCCTTCCAAAAACCTTCCCTGCAAGAGAAATGTCTTTTTGTTTTTGTGTATTTACTTTTTTCTTTTGTACAATTTCTAATATTGTTTTAGGTTTTTAGCTACCTAAGTTCAATGAATTTTCATTGTAGCTGTTTTTGAAACCTTGCACGGTGTCTATGACCGTAATACTAGGTTGCACTTTTTTATTTTGTTTTCATCATTATTATTATTATCTATTTTTGTAAAAAAAAAAAAAAAAAGAAAGAAAGAAAACCCCATAGCGTGCCTCTTAGATTTATGGGTTTTTTTAATGTGTTTTGTTTTTTTCCCTAAGACCAGCAGTTATACTTTATACAAAAGATGAGCTAATCCTTATTTTTAAATGCCATTTAAAAGGAGAAAAAAAGAAGCCTTTTTCTTTACTCTGGACCCAGTAGCTGCACTGGCATACAATCGCACTGGTAGATATAGAGGGGAGAGGGGAACTATAAATAATAATAATAATGATGATGATGATAAAAAATAAATCTAAGAACTACAATAAACTTGTTTGAAAACTTTTTTGTAAAAAAAAGAAAAGAAAAAGTAAAAAAAAAAAAAAAAAAAAACAATGACTGTTTTTGTACATCAAGTTAATTCTTTTCAAAAAAAAATATTTTGGACCTAGTTTCTAATTATTATTTTAGTGGTTTTCTATGTCCTGGAACTTTGAGAAGATGAGTTTTGACCGTGCCCTTCGATGATTGACATCTTGCAGCACTAAGGTTGCCTGGCGTAGCCCTTGATGCCCACCACTGGTTTATTTCTGGTTTGAGTTTGGATTCTCTCTTGCTTTATGAACTTGATATTTTGAAGTAAAGACTTGGTGAAAAAAAAAGAAACATTTTTATCCTGTAGAACTAGATCCTTTACCCCATTGAATTGCTGTTAGAGTGATGAGACTTGAAATGGGCATTTATTATGAATATGGTAGTATGGCTAAAAAAAACAGACAAAAATGACAAAACAACAAAAAAATGTGTTGGGAGGGGGAGGGGGGGTTGGGGGGCAAATAGATGGGTTAGATGTGAACTATGGCTGTGGCAATGATAATGTAGTTTTAAAGCATTATTGTTATTACCTTTTAAATCATTTATCCAATAAAAAAAATCTGAAAGAACATGCATTGGGTGTCTTTATGCTTCACTGAATATCTTGATTTTTTTGATGAACAGACATGAAGCCAAGACAATCCTCATGGATGCTACATGTTGGAGAAGACCTTTAATATAGACCATATTTCATAAAAACATGTACAAAACTGAGATCAGAACTAATATTTCCCTTTCAGTCAAGTTGCATACATTGAAATGAGAGTGATCCCATAATTCACTAGAATGCACTGGATTTCTTACATTAGGCCACAAACTGCTTTGATTTTATGTTTGGATCTTTGACATGGATATGTTGGAATACGCTTCAAGTGCAGAGCAGTTTTTGGGGCCAAAAGAACCTTCTAATGGAACTAGTTTTTCCTCCTCATTTGTCTACACATTGAACTTTTTTGTACATCGTTTTCATGTATAAGGTTAACACTCAGTCATTCATGTACAGTATAAGGTAAACACTTTAATGCAGGTCTGAAACAGCCATGCTCAAGTTCTAATAATCTAGTTAGTTTGTAAAATAAATTTCCACTGAACTGAATCAAATCATTAGATAACTGTGTTTAGTTAAATATTGAGACTGTAAAAAATAAGTTTGTAAAGGGAAAATGAGTGAATTGTTTTAACTGGCCCAGTAAAAAAACATTTAAAAGAATTATTGGTTAAAAATAAAAACTACCCTTAAACTGATCATTCGGTCTATCTACAAAACAGTCATTTCCCTTGAATAACATCATCAGTAGAATGCGGCTAATGGAATCAAATGGACACCTTCAGCCAACAGCTAATGGCTTCCGTGTAGAATGTATAGATTTCTGACTATTTACATAATGATATTAAAGAAAGATGCTGCCAGGGGATTGGAAATGCCCTGGAAAATCTCCTAGACACACAGTACCACCACATTTATGAATTCCTTAACAGGTTAACAATAATAACAAAGTGTAATTTCGAGACAATCTTTTAAAACTGATTTTCCAGGACGCAAGGCGTGAGGAACTGTGCAACCACTGTTCAGCAAATGAGTTGGCTCCCTTTTACTGTTCGATGAGCATGACTAAAGAAGGCAACATGAGAAGAACGGTTACGTCTGTTGAGAGTTCACCGAATCTTCATTTTGCTAAACATTTAGACTGAAAAGAAAAAGGCATGGTTGAAGCTTGAATCCTGCTGTCCCCTGCTCCTATGGTGTAAAATGAATTCTTCGATCCAGCTATGAGAAACCAGGTTAGGACCAAACAACAACAAACTGGAAAATAAAGGTATGTACTAACGTTACGCTTTTATCTAGAATGCTGGACAAGTTTTGGTTCAGGAGCATGAGGTTTTGTCCATGTGAGACTGCTGATAAAAATACTAGTCCATCTTCTTGTTCCGTAGACGCAGACGTGCTATATCCAGTAAATCCCGGCATGTGGGAGCAGTGTGTTGTGAGAGGATGGTCAGAGCCTTGCCGTGCAGTAAAGTCAAGGCCGTCTGGTGGCCCGTTGCCCACACTCGATACCAGGGTCCATAAAACGGGTCAGAGACAGCAGGACACAGCATGTTGTTCAAATTCACTTCGGTCAACTAGTGGGAAGCAAAATATAAGATTGAGTTAGTATAGGGACACAATATAACTAAACATATGAATGCAGATTATTCAAGCAGAATTTGCTCGATTTCATGCTTCATTTTACGAAAAATACCAGGATGCAATTAATACTGCAGTGCAAGTTGCATATTCAACACTGCCACAAGGGGTGCTATATGCCTTCATCACACTCCAACGCTTGAAAAACATAAACTGATAACAGGCTAGAGCTGAAGCTAGATTATCAAGTAAGGCTAAATATTTTGAAATACTCTATTTAAGTGAATTTTCTTGTCAAATTTAGCCACCGTCCATAGGTGGAAATTTATCAAAATCACTAAATGGAGCCTGATGTGATAAGATGCAGATTGCTATAAAGCAGCCATTAGTGAAACGGTTTTAACATTGTCTATTAACACAGTGACCAACCAGAACAGGACAGGAACAGGAACTGGAACTGTTTTGTTCTCCCTCAATCTTTCCACAAGTGTGAATGATCGTACATTTCTTAGGACTCCCAGGAATAGAAAAGTTGTGCAACGAAAGAAAGATGACAACACAAAATGGAAATCCTCTCCATTTCCAGATCTATATTCAAGTGAATGTTTGGGACACAAGGTATACATAAATGCACAAATGAAAGTTCAACATTACACAATCCTGTATGGAGCTATTAATATGACAAAATGATTTGAATTTGTAAATTTGAATTATTTGCAAGTGTAATCTAACAAAGTTGAATTTTAGGTGGTAGTTTAAATAGATCTGAATTTGAATTTTTTTGTAATGAATGAAATTTGTCAAACTGAAAGGTTTTTATGGCTGAATTTTATAGACATGTATTTTCAAACAGCTAGTTTTTTTTTGTTCTGAATTCAAATACTGCAAATATTCAGTTTAAAAAAAAATACAGATTCAAGTTTAAGTTGAAAAAATTCTGATCTTCAAATTCAGTTTTCTAAGATTCAATGTCAAAAATTCAGGTCTAATAGAAAGTAGGTCACAGGTCATCCACAGGGAAGAGTAGATGATCGCAGAAAAGTCGAACAGAGGGACTGCAGAAGTTTTCCAGCTGAACGTGGTGGTGGTGGTTCAAGAGGCTGTCACTCTCTTGACTCTGATTATGAATCGCTGGATTATTTTGTTTATATGTTAGGTAGCGTTCTCATCACATGAGACATTGGTCTCTGGTGTCAGTTTATTTTGAGTAAAATTGATTAGAACGCCGCCATGTCTTCTACACGCACAGGACGCGACGCAACACAGTGCTTGAAGCGACTGCTGTAAAGAGCTGGGACTAGGTCAGAAATAGGAAGGGGAATCCGTGTGCTGTTGGGGATTTCACGGGTCGCTCCGCTCGCGTCCGGTCTACACTGCGTTGTAAATGTAAGCATTTATGAGAGAATGAGAGTGTGAATTAGCCATTAAATGTCCTACAATAAGCCTACATAGACGTTGGAACCCCAGCCGCCCCCTAAATTCACCTAAGCACGGACGTCGGTTTGAAATGGGCAGCCTTTCTGCTCAACCCGTAAATAAATGCATCGATCCGCAAATATTTGTTTGAGTGGACGGTCGAAATATTTTAACTTATGCTGCTGCTCACGGACAGGGACTTTTTAATTTCCAGCGGAAGGTAGATTTTTGGTGGTTTAACTTCATGAAATTTGGACTAATACATTTTTTTTTTTCAACTTTAATATGATTATTTATATTTATTTGGTATTCGGTTTAGAAAAGCAAGTAGGCTACTCGAGTTATAGTAGAGTAGCCTATAGCCTGATGGTGGACCGTCACTCAGATGACACACTATGTTGTTATTGTAGCCCATATTTTGATTATCAAAAACCAGGACACTCGGCCCGGCAAACAGATACTCAAATGATAGTTTACTCAAAGATGCCTTATTAATTTCAACACATTAAAGTAGGCTAGGCTATGTAGAATTTTTTTTTATATTAGCCTACAAGACAGGACAAATTCAGACAGGCTTATACTCAACATGTTTTATTATGACAGGTTTCAAAAATAATGAGTGAAATAATAATAGAAATAACATCTATTCTGTATTAGGAAAATAAATATATAAATAATAAATACTAAAAAGATATATGTATATCTTTAGTTTTCTTCCTCTTTATCCTGTTTTTCTTCATCATCCTCCTTGTTTGCTCATATATATTTTGCTGTAGAGCGGATCTTTCCCAGCAGTTTTTTGAAAACCAGGATATTTTCATCACTTTATAAAAAAACAGCCAGGACAACCAGGACAGAACATGAAAACAGGAATGTCCAGGGAAAACAGGACTGTTGGTCACCCTATATCTGTATCCTCCTGAGGCCCAGACCATAAAGAAGTTTTTTTTTTTTTTTTATGTAATCACATTGTTAAGAGGATAAGAAACAAATTTAAAAAAAAAAGATCACGATATTTTATTCATATGTTATGCTATGACATATGTAGTGGACACATGACTCGATTGTTTAAAAAAATAAAATGACATGGAATTATATATATTATTGTTTTTTGCCTGGCAACGCTTCCAACTTGCGCTTGTTTGTTGCGTGAAAAATAGGCGTCCGTTCTATTTTTAGCCACGCATGTCACGCATGCAGGCAGTGTCTAAGCTCTAACATGGGAGCCGAAATAAAAACGGACACGCAACGAAGCCAGTGTGTCTCCGGCCTAAACGCTTCCAGTGTGAATACTCTCGCGCTGCTGCAGAGGCGATGTAGTTACGCTGATGCGCTGCTCAAGCATGCGGTATGAAGCGGCCGTGAAGGGGTTGCCCAGCCCAAGCACTCCGGTTCGCATCGTATTCACGATAGATGTAAAACGCAGTGTAGACCAAGCAGAGCGACGCGACCCGGCCGTGAAATCCCCAACAGCACACGGATTCCCCATCCTATTTCTGACCTAGTCCCAGCCCTTTGCAACAGTCACTTCAAGCACTGTATTGCGTCGCGCCGCTCCTGTCTCAGTTGTAGCCTAGACACCGTGGCGTTCTAATCAGTTTTACTCCAAATAAACTGACACCAGAGACTCATGTCTCATGTGCTGAGAACGCTACCTAACATATAAACACAAAATCATCCATGGTTAATCGCTCCGGGCAATTCATGAGAGTGGAAGCCGAACCACCGTACAGCTGGAAAACTTCTACAGTCCCTAATTGGGCAAAATGCTCTGTTCGACTTTTCTGCGATCATCTACTCTTCCCTGTGGATGACCTGTGACCTATTTTCTATTAGACCTGAATTTTTGACATTGAATTTGACATTGAATTTTAGAAAACTGAATTTGAAGATCCGAATTTTTTCAACTTGAAAACTTGAATCTCTATTTTTTTTAAACTGAATATTTGCAGTATTTGAATTCAGAACAAAAAAACTAGCTGTTTGAAAATACATGTCTATAAAATTCAGCCATAAAAACCTTTCAGTTCGATACATTTTATTCGTTACAAAAAAATTCTAATTCAGATCTATTTAAACTACCACCTACAATTCAACTTCGTTAGATTACTCTTGCAAATAATTCAAATTTACAAATTCAAATTCAGATCATTTTGTCATATTAATAGCTCCATAATCCTGTGGTGTTCAGTACAATGCCTAGGTGAATCTGGAATTGGTTTGAAAAGTGAATTATGTTGTATGAATTATAATGATCACGGCAATTCTAAAACCCTCCTGCTCAAGAAGAATTGAACGATTGACACAAAAAAAGTGTGTCATTTTTGAAATACTCGGTACTCTGCAAGTTTAAATCTAAGCAGAGAATATAAGGAAGTTCTGCAAGAAGGGAATTTTAGGAGAGCACAGAAAAAGCAACAGCAACAACGACCAAGCGTTTGCCCCCAATTTAAGATCTTCTCCACCAACTTTTAAGACTGCTTTTCCAGAGAACATTCACCTTCAAGGCTTCTTTCCTCTGCATGTTAAAGACAAGTAGCTTGTCTGTGCTCCAGCAGTTCACAGCGTTCTTCAGTCTTATTGTTTAAAAGAGTCCAGCTCCTTTATTTCCACTGCAATGCGACCCAGCACAGCTAGTGGAAGACATCACCGGACTCACTTATCACATGTCCAAGTCGAATGCAAATAACACTTTTATAATGAGCTTAAACACTTTAACACTTAAATAACCAAGGTCTCTGGAAAGAGGTCCGGTATTCATTTCGTACCACCTGTAAGACCCACTAAATTCTGGAGCCTGTTGTGAGATATTTGCTAAGGGTTTGTGGCCTGCACAGCACCATTTATTCAGCAGTTTAAGTTTGTTAAATATGATACATGCATGTATTCTGGTGAAGTTGGGGGAGAAAAGTCCTTGACTTCAAATCACCATTCTGTTGCAAAGCTACTCACTCCAGTCCCATTTTGACAGCAGTCTGACAGCAGTTGTGCACCCCCAACCCCCCCACACCCACACCCCCGCCCAGCCCCGCCCTCGGCTCATCCTCTCTATCTCCGCTGGGGTCTGCCTATTTTTTCAGCATTTTTCAAACATTGCCAGTGGGTGGAGTCAGGCTCTGACCAGGGGTTTAGTTACCCTTTAAAATGAACAACAGAGCATACTGAATTGAATAGTGTGTCCCACAATGCATCTGACTTGATATTACACTTGAAGTGATGAATTGACATGATATTTGATTAGGCTGCCAGAAGTTGACATTTTTACACAATATTGGATTAAAAATGCTAAATGCACTTGCTGAATTAAACACATAATGTGATGAGGTCGTGTGACAATATTGTGGAAAAATGTCAGCTGTTTGACTTACTTGAAAAGCGTGTCTATGTAAGGCAAGTATTCAGTAAATGGTAAGATAGTATTCCATACTTGACATAAGCTACCATACAACACTTTGTATTTCTAAAACAGTAAGAGTGGTATGTTGTTCTGGATTCTGCAATAGCGATTGAATGTCATACCATTCCAAGGCCCTGAAGGAATACAAAGTGGTAGAGGAAGAGGATTCCTGAGGACAGCAGCGCCCACCACATGTCACCCAGCGGCTCTGGCTTATACACACCTGAAAAACAAGACACATGACAGACGTTAAAATGCATGTAAAGTCCAGGGGCCAGCAGCACCAGCTGTACACAAGTTACAACTTAGTTTTGTTTTGTTATATTTTGAAGTTAAAAGTTAAAGTGAGGTTCATTCCTCGATAGGCCTACGATAGGTCACACTTCCTGCTTCCGGAACGTGGAGTAGGGACAGAACTTCCAGTCAACAGTATTTCTCGATAAGGATTTAGATTAGCCCTAATGTCTACATCCGAGGTGGACTGACCACGAGCTATGAGGTTGAGAAACGAAGGTTTTTGCTCCTATTGAAGCTATAAGTTTGTATGAAATCAACCTTGTTTAAAGAAAAACAAGTTTTATCCGCGATCTTATGAAAAAACTACACTACCCACAATCATAAGCATAGTAGCAACGTCTGCTGATTGGTCCAACTCGCAATTACCATAGAAACGTTTACCTTACTGGCGAACGGCTAGAGCTACCGGTTGCTCTGCATCAGGACGTAGACAGCCATACCTCAGCTTTCACACGTTACCACTTAAGAGTTTTCATTTACCACCTGAACCACATTATCATACTGTATGTCACTTCAGGCAGGTTGCGTAGTGATTTGGTCCAGCGTTATCCATCAGACTCCACCATTGTAAAAAGCTAACCGGAAGAGCCGTATCCCTACTAAAAGACGTACTTCAATTTCTTCGTGACATAGGCCTATTGGGTAAGAGGGCCCACAATGAAGTTTTCATCATTATATTCAATAATTCAAATTCAGGGAATGATTATATTAATATTTCCATAAATTACAAATGTATCTCATATCTTATTTATCATAAAAAAGCTTTGTAGCTACAGTAGAACCAGAATTGAAATCATGGGGAAGATAAAATGTATTTTAGCCCTGAGGCAAAGGTGGGGAATCCAACTACAGTCCAACTAGGGACAATCATTCAATCAGAACAGGCTACAACTATTATGATATCCTTCCCATCAACTAAAACATAGGCCTATAGCCTACATATTGTAATTCAGAAGAAAGATGGTGTTATTTGAAATATATCTTTCATTATTCAACTAAATATTTAATGTAATTAAATGATTAAATAATAAATTAATTCGTTCACACAAAGCATTGATATCCCAGAAACTGTGGAGCTGTAGTTGTCCTGTCTGAACATTACGAGACACTACAGGTTTGCTTATTTCTCTCGGAGCATCATTGCTTCACTCATGGGTCTTTTACTCAGGGCACATGAAATGCCATTCCATCCAAAATGGTCATATCAGTCGAATTTACATTTATTCATTTAGCAGACACTTATATTTAAAAAAAAATATCGTAAAGAGGAAACGCTTGTAATACAATGTTGTAGCCATCCATCGTTCAGGATAGTACAAGCTAGAATAAGGGAGGGATTAAGGGATGGCCAAAGGAATAGAGAAAGTGCTACTGATTTCAATAGTAGTTTACAGGGAAGCTAAAATGACAATGTGATGCACATGTGGACAATGGAAGATATAATCATGTGGGTCCAGGGGGTCTAGGGGTGTATTCCAGAAAGCAAGGTTATTTTACCGTCAAACATACCCTGAACTAGGGCTGGGCGATATGGCCTAAAAAAATAAAAATCCCCCCAAAAAATATTCACAAAAAATCCGACTTACGATTTAAATCGATTTTTTTCTGTCCCTACTTAAAATCAATCTGCAGATGACAAAGAAATTGTTCAAAACAAGTTTTACATTTTTGTTTTGATAATTCCCTTCTGTGATATTATCTGGATTAAAGTGCAATCAGAAACAACAAGCCAAAAAGACAAGAGGGCAGGCCCTGTCATTGTAAATAGTGTAAATGTAACATAACATGAAATGGGTGGATTGGGATTGTAAAAAAAAAAAATATAATAAAAACAACTTGCATCACAATAAATTTATTGTGATTGTCAAATTATTGGGTAACTAACTTAACATAATTTTATTAGGTTTATTAACCATAAACACAATGTTTACATGGTACAAAGACTGTATGCTACTGTTTTTATTATTGCTTAACACAAATTTCACAATTTCAAAGATTTGATTCTGATATTGATTCAGTATAAATTCCTTTGGATAAATATTAGGTAGATACGTTAATGTGTTATGTTAATTGTTCTCCAAAAATAAATTACCTAATGCTCTCTCCCCGTGTATTCACACGGTGTATGCAGGTGGCACTGGAACCTCTACAACGAGAGGGCATGCTGATTCTCCCTTACCTGGACGATTGGCTGCTTGGTGCCAGATCCCCTCAGCAAGTAGTCAACAACACGAAGCGCCTACTGGAGCATGTTACTGCTTTAGGCCTGAGGGTAAACCTAGAGAAAAGCTGCCTTACTCCATGCCAGTCAATATTTTTTCTGGGATTGCATCTGGACTCCAGAATAATGAGGGCTACCCTCACAGAACGCAGGAGGCAAGCTATACGAGGAGCCATAGCGAGGTTCCAGGTTCGGCGCAAGCTGCCATATCTCCATTTCTTACGACTAGCAGGCCTTCTCACGGCTGCCTCATCTGCCATTCACTTAGGACTTTTACACCTTCGTCCTTTTCAGCGTTGGTTGATAGCCAGACGGTTGTCGGCAGTTCACAACCGACATACCCGTGTTTTGGTGACAACCAGACAACCAGGTCCACGACAACTATTGCCAGTTTCGGAAGGACCTACTGTCACAAATGAACGGGGAGCTTTGGCACCCCTCACCGGGCAAGTTGAGTCTATGTGCATGGCCCCTGGGGTTGAGCAGGAGCTCTCACAGTGTTCTGCAGATGTGAGGAACACTGTCATGAATGCAAGAGCCCCATCAACATGTCGTACTTATGCCAGTAAATGGAAGATCTATGTTTCATGGTGTACAGATCGGTCTATTAACCCAGTATCTTGCTCTATCAGTTCAGTGTTGGAATTCTTACAACATTTATTGGACACTGGGCGGTCCCCAGCGACTCTAATGGTATTCGTGGCAGCCCTGTCAGCACATCGGAACCCCTTGGGGGGGGAAATCGATTGGTGCGGAAAAATTGGTGGTGGCTTTCCTTAAAGGAGCAGTACGTCTTAATCCACCGGTGTGGATAATGCATACCCAGTCGGATCTTCAGATGGTACTTGACAGTCTGCGTTTACTGCCTTATGAACCACTTGAACAGGCTGATATTAGAAGTCTCTCGATGAAGACTGCTTTTCTCTTGGCTATAACGTCAACCAGAAGAGTAGGTGAGCTTCATGCCCTCTCGGTGAGTCCACAGTGTCTCAGGTGGGGGCCTGAGAACAATCAGGTTACACTCTGGCCGAATCCAGCTTTCCGACCTAAGGTGTTGTCTGATGGCTTTGTGAACCAACCCATTCCGCTTCCAGCGTTTCGTCAAGAGGCTTCCCAGATGGCCTTGTGTCCAGTGAGTGTATTGCAACCGTATGTATTGAAGACCGCTTCATGGGGCATCACTCATCACTGATGAATAGCAAGACCGCCAGATCACTCGGATTGAGAGAATGACTGCAGAGAACGACCGTGACATGAATGTAGCGGATATAGCTTCCGACATGTCATCGGTCAGGGTCACAGGTGACAAATCAATACGAGATTCTTGATATGGCTCGCGAGACGCGACTCCTTCCACTATGTTCGACCGTCTCTGGCGGTCTTTCACTATTCATAGAACCAAGGTTACATCAGTAACCGGCGTTCTCCAACTTCTCCAGCTGTTTTATTGACATCTTTCCGTGGTTGAAAAACACTGATCGATCGGTTTTATTTCAGTAAGTTAGCAGTAAAGAGTAACAGATGATCGGTTCACGTGCCGCTTGAACTGAGATCTGTTAGTGATCTTTCACGTGATATAAAGGCATTCCTGAGTCTGAGGCATAGGGTCTGAGGTAAATGTAACATTACGTGACACATGTTGTTCTCCAACTTCTCCAGCTGTTTTATGGACATCTTTCCGCAGTTGAAAAACACTGATCGATCGGTTTTATTTTGGTAAGTTAGCAGTAAAGAGTAACAGATGATCGGTTCACGTGACGCTTGAACTGAGATCTGTTAGTGATCTTTCACGTGATCGTCACATTCACAAGCGCCAAAATGGTGTTTATTGTTTGAATTTCGTAATAGAATCTGAGAGCTGAGAATCTGTCTCATATCAATAACAACCTGCTCTGTCGGTGTCAGTGTCCTCTTGCTCTTTTTTCATTCGAGAAAATCGGCGCAATTGGCCTTATGCACAGCTGCACTACTTCCTGAACTTAAGCCAGCTCCTTGTTTCCTGTCTGCCATTATTGGTCAAATTGATTAATTCAGGTGTGCCTGACCTCAGTAGTCACAGCAACAATAATCAGACACACCTGCATTAATCAAGTTTGGGCAATAATAGCAGACAGGAAACAAGGAGCTGGCTTAAGTTCAGGAAGTAGTGCAGCTGTGCATAAAGCCAATTAGGCGCAAACTACAAATTCGAGTTAATCGATAAAATCGATTTATCGCCCAGCCCTACCCTGAACTCTTGATTGATTAATCCAAACCTTGCTTACTCGAGGTACAGTATGCTGGTTCCAAAAACACACCTGGGAGTTAGGGCTGAACGATTTTGGAAAATAATCTAATTGCGATTTTTTTAACCAATATTGCGATTGCGATTTAATATGCGATTTAAAAAAAAAAGTTATTTACCTTCTGTGTTAGTCGACAAAGACAAGCAATAAATCATTGTACAGTAGGGATGGGAATCTTTAGATAGCTCATGATCCGATCTACTTTTTTTCTTATTAATTAATCTTAATAACTCTTAAAATATGTATTTAATTACATGTGTAAAAACACATACTTTAAAAAATAAATATAAAAAAACATTTAATTAAACCAATTACATGTTAAGAATTTTAAATAGGCTATATAAAATAATATAGCTTCAAAATATAAAAGCTAGTAAATAAAAAGAAACAAACAAAAAAAAAACATTACAAGCAATAAACAAAGAGTGGTCTCAGTATTTAAAAGTAGGCTGTCTGAATGTTTTTCATTCAAGAGCTGGAGTGATTTCCCCTCAGTTTAGATACGATAAGCTGCATTCACACTAATGCATACTGTATATCTCTTTTGAAATTGTAAATGTGGTTTGTCCTGTTGGTTTAAGATATAACTGACCGTGTTTACATCAATTTCGCGTCATAAAAGCATTTTGACATGCAAGTACATTTACCAATGAGCCTACCTAGAAACTCTCAGTACATCCAGCAACTCCAAAGCTCTTAAAACTTTCTCATTGTGAAGTTACATGTTACTCTCCTGGCTTTATAACATGTAATTGTATTCTCAATTGTATTTACCCCATGGCATTGATTCTGAATGTTCATTGAAATGCAAAAAAAAAAAAAAAAAAAACGCATGCACGAGCGCTCTTCACAAAGCACGCGTTAGTATTTTAAAATGAAAGCAGCCTTCTCAGTGATTTTCATGGTTTTAATATAAGCCAACTGCATTCCAAAATACATAAATAATGCCTCTGTGAAGCACTTGTAAAGAAAATACCCGCGGGAGAGAACGCGCACTGCAACAGTGTAACGTTATAACATCAAGCAAAGCGGCAAAACCTGTTCAATGAAGCCCGCGAATGTCCTTGTAATTTGGTTCAACCCCGACCTTTATAAAATAACGTTACTATGTTTTGGAAGGTTCGAGCGGTGTCGTGTGTGTGAGTGAGGAAGAGAGAGAGCGAGAGAGCGAGAAAATAGAAGCAAGCAGATTCAGAACACGGTTCGTTTCTAAAGCACGCGCAGCGTCATCACGCATCTGTGTTTAAAAACTAAGCTCATACTCGATTCTGAAATTCTCTGAATCGATCCAGGATTGTTGAGGAGAGAATAAATAACACAATAAACTGTTCTTTTCTGGACGCCAGACCGCGTAGCGTGGCAAGTTGATGCTTTATCTTGCAGACTGCTTTTCTCTCGCGTGTCAAGTGACCAGTGTAATCGCAGCTCTTGCGATTACAAAATCGCGTTTCATCATATCGCGATTTTATCGCAAATGCAATTAATCGTTCAGCCCTACTGGGAGTAAGTTCATCCAACTCAGAATATGTATATGATTAACACACCAGAAATTCTCAACAAAGCAATGAAGCAAAGCAAAACAGACCAAAAATTAATTTCAAAGTGAACTATCCCTTTAAGACGTTAAGACGACTGCTCTAAACAATTCCCAATTTAGCTTAGTCTGTAGGCCTTATGGTTGATTAGTAACTGGGGTGATATTAAATCATGAATACCAAAACTGATATGTCGGGACAAAATTTTGACTCGCACTTGCTTCCTCAAAAACTCCGTCTCGACTGTATTTGAAAACCAACGGACTCGGTCACGACTCGGACTCGACCCTTCAAAGACACTGTCTTGGCATAGGCGGTCTCATCCCCATCACTATTACTTACCCTAAAAGCTACCTCCATTTTTTGGAACCAAAAGGTGAGGTTATCTGATTACTTTCTCTTAGACACACACACAGGTATGTCACATGGTTATGAATTTCTAGAATACAACCCAGGACTAACTGTTCGACCATACTTCAGAAACTCACCTCCTTTTCTGAAGAGGTAGACAGGCACAAGATACAGCATGGAGTGTTGAATATAATAGATCTCCTTTTCAAATGGAAGCTGTGACAGGGGAAAAATATGTTTAGATGACAAAAACATACAGAGAGCCTTGCATTCTAGTCTTATTTGGTGTCAGCATGTTATACTATAACTACTGTATATCCTAATGCAATAAGCATCTAAACAAACAACTAAACCATTACAAATATAGTATCGATGCAAGCAGTGATAACGGGCTCGAGCACTATGGTGCCATCGCCACCTGGTGGCTCTAGGAAAACAATATAAATCAAGGTCAGGTAAAAAAAAAAAAAAAAAAACACTTCCTGCTACCATTTGGTAGTACTATGATGACCTAAGCCTACAATAACCATAAACATGTGATCAGCTCCCATCAACATACAAAATAACCATCACCACCTCCACAAGACAATGGCAGTAAATACACACAATTCCATCTCTCTGACTACTGTCACAGTGAAATATTACAGTGATGGAAGTGCACTTATTTTTTCCTGTACAGTACCCAAAAGATCTGAAGCACTTGATGCGAGGATAGAAACTATGATTCACTGTTCGCTTGTTGGCCAGAGGAATGAGCCTGGGTTTTCCAAATGATTTTTCTCTATTATGTCACCTGAGGGAGTTTTGGTACGGTCACTGTTGCCTGACTTTTGGCTTGCTTAGTTAGGTACATTTAATATTCAACGATATTATTGATCTGCCTTTCTTCTTGAAACAAAATTTGTTGTATTATTTTCATTTTATGAAGCTGCTTTGATACAATCTGTATTGTAAAAAGCACTATATAAATAAAGGTGACTTGACTTGACTATGAATAAAAACTCTGGATAGTGTTGCACCTCTCTGTTTGAAGAAGAAAGTTAAAGAGAAACCCCCACACATGGGTACAAATTCAGACTCATGCTCTTAAGAAAGCACGTGAAGATTACAAGTTAAGAGAAAATGAAAATGTGATCTCATCTTATCGGAAAATGATGAGATCTTCATATTTGAATGCTCATAAAAAAATGACAAAAACAATCTCAGGAATTTCTCCCCACAGCACAGTACTGTAATACCTCAATGAACTTCAATAATAAAATTAAGACAAGCAGAAAGAATCATAGTAGAGCCTGACCGATATGGGGTTACTGATATTATTTATGTATTATATATTATAATACAGTAGCAATATTTTTTATGTCTATATTATAGTACAGAAGCAGTTAAATGTTTGGACACACACCATTCTTGACTGGTACTGTACTGTATATAGAATACAGTATGCATATTTTTTGCAATGATCACTCAAATGTGGTGATCAAACACTTGTGTGACAAAAATATGTAATGGAGGCAGGGTGAATGATTGAGAATGATAAAATACAAAATGGCCCTATATAAAGTGTTATAATTATAAAAATTATTGAAGTATTGCTTGATTTTGTAACGTAGCGTTGGGATGTATAGGTTGACACAGTGCCTAAACCAGTTGTTGCTTGCGTTGCAACAGCTGTTTACCCTGGACGTTAATGGTTCTACGGTCTTTTGTCGCATCGCGCCACTCGCTTCCAGTGTCTTGTTCAGGCAGCAGCAAACAAGCAGTCAAGCGATGTCTTAACGGTAAGTTGCAAACTAGTTAGAATGAGTGGTGTTGGCTTGAGACTGTTGAATGGTGACTTAACACTACTTTGTCACCTGGTGAGCTAACCATCTTTAATACCTTGTCAGTGGAAGCTAATGTGTGCGCGCATCTTACACCGTTACACTCGCCTGATAGTGTATACTGGATAGTGGCTCTACTTCTACTATCATTACTGAAGTGAAATGGTTTGCTGGTGTACAGTAACCTGGGTCGCCAGTAACAAACAATGAATGCACTTTGTTGGACAAACTACTTAGTTACACAATTTATAAGCATTTTATCCGCGTTATATGTTCTGCAAAAAAAAGTTTATAACGGCAGCATATCTGCATCATATACACCGTACCGAAATTTCTGTGATAGGCTCATATCGGCTGATAATATCGGAAGACCAATCCGATTATTACTGAAGTGAAATGGTTTGGTCGGGCTCTATGCTCATAGTATCTCCAGTGAACAGCTTCAGGCATTTGATGTTATAGGACAAGAAGGGTGAACAAAACTTATTTAACATATGCTGTAACCTATATCCACTAAGCTACTGAAAGAGTTGTTACCTGTAATCTCAGAATATCCTCTGAAAATTATTAACTTTTCCCTTTCTTAAGGGAATGTCCCAAAAACTTTCAAGCTGGCAGTAATCAAACCCTTATCAAGAAGACCCAGCTTTGACCCAGGAGAACAGATTATCTCCAATCTCCCGTTTATGTCTAAAATGTTAGAAAAAGTAGTGTCCTCCCTATTTGTTTCTGCCACATAAAATATAATAAACATCCAAAACAGGCACAAAATCTAAAAAAATCAGTTTATTGCTCTTCAGAATGGATCTCCCCTCCATCATTAAATGCATTAGAATCCTTAAAAGAATACTAGCTACAAAACAAATATTGGGTTCTATGTAATGTGGAACTTAAACAACTGGTAAAACAAAGTAAAATGTAGAATACAAACATATTATGCTCATTGACTGTCTCTGTTGTCTATCCTTGTTATTGAACATGACAACATTAAAGGGTTAGTTCACCCAAAAATGAAAATTAATTCATTAATTACTCACCCCCATGCTGTACCAACCCCGTAAGACCTTCGTTCGTCTTCGGAACACAAATAAAGATATTTTTGATTAAATTTGAGAGCTGTATAACTACCACATTGGCTCCTAAGGGACTGCCTCTTGACGGCCCAGAAAGTCAATGAAGAAAATGTTTAAATATCCCAAGTGACTACCGTGGCTCAACTATATGTTTATCAAGCAACGAGAATACTTTTTGTGCGAAAAAACGAACAAAAATAACGAGTTTATTCGACTATTCCTTTTCTTCCTTGTAGGCCAGAAACGAGACTTCCTTAGATTTCCACGACGCATGCGCGAGAACTGAACTGAAGTAGTGTAAGGAGATCGCAATTCTCGCGCATGCGTCGTGGAAATCTAAGGAAGTCTCGTTTCTGGCCTACAAGGAAGAAAAGGAATAGTCGAATAAACTCGTTATTTTTGTTCGTTTTTTCGCACAAAAAGTATTCTCGTTGCTTGATAAACATATAGTTGAGCCACGGTAGTCACTTGGGATATTTAAACATTTTCTTCATTGACTTTCTGGGCCGTCAAGAGGCAGTCCCTTAGGAGCCAATGTGGTAGTTATACAGCTCTCAAATTTAATCAAAAATATCTTCATTTGTGTTCCGAAGACGAACGAAGGTCTTACGGGGTTGGTACAGCATGGGGGTGAGTAATTAATGACTTAATTTTCATTTTTGGGTGAACTAACCCTTTAAGCATGCCTACAAATGAACTTGTGCATGTGCATAAAAAAACCAAACACCAATTGCAAAAGCCAATATGGCGCATACGTTTTAACTACATACCTTACATCGCCAGTTGGCAGAATGTACACGTGCACTAAAACATACATTACGTCACTACACAACCTCATCGTGCTACAGTCTACAGTGAGGAATACTTGACAACTGAAGTGTTTTCAACCACTGCTATAGTGTAAGTAACTTGGTAACTTTATTTAATAACTTTACATTATTATAATGAATATACTCACCAGTCTAGTGTTGACTACTGGAAAGAGAAGAGCTAGAAGGGCTCCATTCAGCATGTGGACCTGAAGTCTTCAAAATAACAACAAAAAAAATGTTAAAAATCACAGTAGAAAGCTCACAGCAACACTATATCTATCAACACTACAGGAACACAGTTATGCTGCCTTGAAGCAGACAAATATGTGGCATGCATAAAGAAGGCAATCCCGCAATACTTAAATAAGTTGTAAATAATAAAAAATACAAAAAGATATTCTAGACGGATAGATATCTCTGCTTTGCCAGAAGACTGTTAGCAGTGAGAGTATGCGCTTTTGCCAAGGAAATTATTGTGTCAAGGGGGAGTGGTTTAGCGATCTCTGCAGACTAGCCTATCTCGCAAGCTCCCCGATTTCAACGCGGAGAACTGGGAATTCTAGAACCAGAAAGAAAGATTCCTGATTTTAGACATACGTGACAAATAACAAATACATTACATCTTGACTATGGGTTTGAAAACCTCAGGAACCTAAGGTTTCCTGAGGTTTAACCTTTGCAACGCTAAGGAAATGAAATGATCATAATGAACTGTGTCTACTCGGGCGACAACTTCAAAAAGAAAAAGAAACACGGCACCTTATAAAAAAATAGGCCCATTTTATTCAAGACACCAGTTTCACGCTGGCGAACGATCCCGGCTTAAAGGGTACATATCATTCTTTTAAATCATTCATTTTTACATATAAATCATTCCGTTGTGGTCCATATAAAGCATAACTGCAATGCTTGGGTCTGAATTCCTCATTATTATAATAATAGCTATAGCTCCACAAGCCCC